AGTAAAACATGTCATTATAAACGGGCCTGAAATGAACTTCTAGCAGTACCTCTGTCCATGTTCAACCAACTTTTCCCAGCTAATCTCACCTAGTTCTTTTGCAAAATGCTCAAGTCATGAAGACCATGAGGTAATGCAGTGGTGCTGGCAGTTGCTGCCACTTTATGTTAGTTTCAGTGAAAAAGCTCACCATGCAAAACTGCTGAACCTGGAGAGCGTTTGCTGGAAATGTCGCCATGTGTCGTCTCTCCAAATAATATAAAAATGTAATGAGCCCACAAAAGCAATATTTCAACCCCATGTGGTAACCATTTTTCTAAGAGCGGGTTAACCATGCTTAGTCACAAAGTGCACGGAAGGTTTATTGGTCTGCTTACTTTTTGTGGGAAGCACACTTGGCAACGCATTGTGACGGAGGTGTCCAGGGCGCAGGAGAGCTGACTCCTCAAAATGTAAGGAGCAAACTACCCTGTCTCGTAGCTGCCATGGAGTCTTCACCTGTAGACTTCGGTTGTTGCAGAACCGAACCCAGGCTTCGCGCCTGCAGATAATGCATGGTGCTATGTGGGTGCCGTGAATACTTACGAAAAAAAAAATGTAACCAAAATGTCCGCAAACCAAAGCAAATCAGTACAAGGACCTTAACAAATGCATGACATCACTGCTCTGTGTACATGATGAAGAGTAAAAACACGAGTCTTACGCACAGATGCCCTATTATATATCTGTGTTGTACCACTGATAACCACGCCGATGATCACGACACTAGGCTCCTCAGAGCCAGGCCGGTACAGGTAAATTTTAATATCGTGGGCACTTTTATAATGACGGCACACAACGCTGCGAAGTCAGAGTGGTTTCGAACTTAAAACATTCCTAGTATAACATATTACGCCTTCAGGTGTAGTTTCTTGTGCACATCCAGACAACACTAATAGTTTTAGGTAAAACTAACAAGAGTTAAGAGGAGACCGAACAAGGGGCATACATCACACAGCAGGCATGTCACTGACAGTAGCGAAGTCTCACCTTCGAGAGTCGAGGGAAAACGGGTGCAGCGAGATGCCAGCCGTGCGGGTATTGCTTTCACACATTTCCACGGAGCACCGTTTCTTTGCGTATCGCGCTGTGCTCATCGTCGCAAAAGACGTTGAGCCCCTTGGGCGCAGTAGCGTCCAAGATCCAAGCGCACGACAGCCGAGTTCCCGCGCAGGTCACTGGGCTAATCACGCCCGAGCAAACAAAAAAACTCCCGAAACGGTGTTAACTGCCGCTAAAACAATTAAAAGCTAAGAGCACGTGGAGGCCCAAACACAAGCAAGCAGACGGACGTCAGCAGACTGCCTTTGCGCGCGCCCACGAGGTCTACAAAAAACTGCAAATATCGCTATTGCTAGTCGGCCTTTTTGCTAGTGGCGTACAGAGGACGCTAATAAGAAGTATGCATAATATTAGCAAAAACAAAAACAGTTTTGAATTTTGTAGCACGTTAAATATGATTGATATTATCTAATAATTATATTTAGCTTGTTTAAAAATACCAATGATTATACTTCTAGTCACAAACTAATTAATTTTAATAATGTTTGTCCCCACCTCTCCTAGTCGCGCTTCGATCGCACCCTTCACGTGACCCTCCAGGTCGATGTCGCTGGCGATTTGTTTTGAACCGCTTTTTGGCCGAAGCTTCGCTACCCATGTACATATACCTTGGAATTTGTTTGGATAACGAAACTGGCAAAGGGTGTATTTAAAGGGTAACTGCAAAGAAAAAGGTGTATTTTTAAACAGCCTAGTTGGGACAAGCATGTCTCAAAACAAATTTTCCAACAAAAACAAGATTGTTCACAGCAATATTTATCGCGCGGGACTGATTTTAGTTTGCGGCTATTTCGTCCGTTTTAAATCGCGCGCCACAAAGTTGGTATTATACGTCACGGAGTGGCTGCTCTACGTCACGGAGTGACGTACTCCAGTCACTCCGCGCGCGTCATAAGAGCGGGAGTTTCAAATGTGGAGAGGTTGTGACTCCGACTAAATTACGTCCTGTGGCGTAAATATTGCTAAAAAAAATTTTTTTTTCGTGGAAGATTTGTTTTGTGAGATGCTTGGCCCAACTAGGCTGTTTAAAAAAACACTTTCTTTTTCTTTGCAGTTACCCTTTAAGAAAGAAAGGCACAATAACGCTAACTAAGGAGAAAGAAATGCAAATATGAAAGTAGCACACAAAATTCACGGCATACTTTCAAAAACAGCTAACATATGTTAAAGGACACATGCAAAGGAAAAAAACATTTTTTTTAGACAGCTTAGATGGAAAAAGGATGTCATAAAACGATTTTACAACGAAGAAACAAAATTTTTAGAGCTATATTTACGGCGCTATACGAATTTGTAGTTGGCGCTCGCGGGAGCCGCCGCTGGTCACGTGGTAGGCCCGCGCGCCGCCGCGCTGCGTCGCCGCCGCACGCTGAGCGTTGTGCGAACGCCGCTTCAACGCGTTTCTCCACGCCGCCGTCGCCGCCGCCGCACAAGTTCGTCTGCTTCGGGGCGCCGCCGCCGTCGTCTGACCGGCGCACAGGTCTATCACGTCTGCGTGCGCTTTTTCAGGAGTTTCCTTTGGGCTCTAAAAGTTACTTATTCATCTTAGTTTTTTGTTATACTTCAAACAAAGATGAATAAGTTACTTTTAGAGGCCATAGGAAGCTTTCGAAAGAGCGCAAGCACCACGTGATAAATAAAGACCAGTCACGTGATAAATACAGACCACTTTTAAGCGGTGCCCGCGGGCGCCAACTACAAATTCGTTTTGCGCCGTAAATATAGCTGTAAAAATTTTTTTTCTTCGTTGTAAAATCGTTTTATGGTGTCCTTTTTCCATCTAAGCCGTTTAAAAAAAATGTTTTTTTCCTTTGCATGTGTCCTTTAAGGACACACAGAAAAATAGTTAGATATAGTCATACAAGCTTGAACATTTGAATCTTGGAGTTGAAGATGTCAATGTTGGTTGTAGGAAGTGTTATAAAAAAATATATGCATTTCATGGGACTGGTTAGATTGTTTTTTTCACTGAGAAAAGGGGAGTAACCTATAATATTACCCTTGCTACATAGAGGTGAAAAGCTGAAATGAGGTTCGGACAGTCAACTAAACTGTGCAAGCATTTATGTAAAAAAGTAAGATTGCGCTCTAATCTCCTGGTGTTTGCTGCCAGACAAACATATTGTCGCAAGTCTTGCATGATCAAAAAGCCAGTGCGGTCATAAACAATCCGAAAAAACCAACTAGGTACTTTTTTATCACTGCCTGGCTTGTAGGACCAATACAATACCAAAAGAAAGAATTAAACTCAAGTTTTGTATGTATCAAAGAACAATATTAATTGAATTAACAAGTTGACGAGGAAAGTTATTGCAAAATTCCAGAAATAATGCCTAACATCCTAAGTGCAGCATTTGTAATTTTAAAAACACGTTCATTGAAAGACGAATGTTAGTCAACATATACTCCTGGACCTCTCATGCAGTCATTCCTATGCATAGATAAATTATCAAGAGAATAACAAAAACTTTGAATTTTCCCTTTGATGAAACCAGAGCATCAGTGTGGAGGATTACAACGTCAGACACTGGAAGTCATGCACGTGTTTCACTCCCCACAGCTATGCACGCTAGTTTTCATCAAATCAAGCTCCTTTCAGTGCTCATGAAAAATTATATTTTACGGTGCTCGTGAAAAATTATATTTTACAGACTTCATTATTTCCATTGTAGGTGTGTCTGTGACAACTTTCTGTTCGTCACATAGTCAAGGCAGTTCTCAACTGGTGGCTTTGCTGCAGAGAAAAGCTTGACTTTGAGCCGCAAACATATTTGCTTGATAGCATCCTTGTAGGCTAGGTTTCTCTAAAAAGCTATGTGCATATAAATACCTCAGCAGAGCTTCTTAAAAGGAATTGTAAGTGTCCAGACTGTTATGCAAACCATGCATAGGGGCCCAATAATCCAGAAAAAATACCTACAACTCAAAATAGGATTTTAATCTGCAAAAACGTGCCAATCCAAAGCCAGCAGCTCAGGGTTCCCTGGCGCTGGTCCTCTAGTTTCAGTAAGACTTTTTTTATTTTTTCGTCTTAACAATTTTGCAGCGAGAAATCTTTTTGGAGGTTGCGTTTTGACGCCATTACCTAGTGCTTCGCATGAAAACATTATTGATTCTCTGGATTGTTGGAGCTCCTTTAAATGTGATTTGCAGAACAGCTTTTCTTTCTCTTAGGTCACATAAACAGCTCTTTGCTCTAGTAACTACGCACCCTTGCTCACTAGCTCATTACTTAATAATAGTGTTGTTTCCACCATAAGATGATGGTGGCAATCAGGAAAGAAAGCTGTAAGGTACAGCTTGACGGGTTCCTGGCCGCATACAGCAGCAGCGACAGAGTGGGGAAATAATACAGCAATCAAAAGAGAAACGCAAATGTACAGAAAATGATTGCCATCACAACATGTTAAGCACAATACCTTAGATTATCACAATGTTGACATATAGGGCATGAAAGGCAAACAGAAACAAAGCAATAAAAAATAAGATCATAGTAATAAGTATTAAGCACGGAGTAAGGAGAGCAACTACACTAAACATCAGTGAAAAAAGGGTGACCTCACTTCACTCAAGGATAACTTGTCCCAATCAATACCTTTAGCTAAAAACAGATTAAATAATTTAGGAACAGCGTATTTCAGCGTTTGTGTGCCTTAGTTTGTTCTCGGTGTGACCATCTCCCAACATTCAGCTCCGCGGGTAGGGTAATTATGAATGTGTTTCGAGATTTGTGCAATATTTATAAAAAAGTTTGTATTTCCAACTTGCTCCACTTTTAGGCTAGTGACAAGCCTGTAATCATATAATGTGAGGACATTTTTGGTGGACAGCACTGCAGCATGTCAAAATAAGCATTTAAGAGGCATAAAAAAGAACCAAAACTACTAATAGTAACTTACCGGAGTAGATATCACTTCACAAACCTCATAAGGATGATTTTCCCTGGAAAAGTGTAAGGCACATGAGAGTTTATAGCAGCCTTAGTGATGTACACCGAGTCAACCAAGCTGAAGCAGCTAAGGAGACGCAGCATACAATTGCTGCCCTTAATAAGACATTAAAGTGAATTTTCAGCTAGCATTTAATTATTTATGACTTCTTTTAGATGGCATATACCCAGAGTTGCTATGTGGAGAGTTCAGGGCCTCAGGAATCAACTAAAGAGGCACAACTACTAGAACTAGTGGTGACATGGACTAACAACGCCATCAGACATAATAAATGCTGTGACATTAGACCAGAATAACACAGTTCAGTTTAAAAGAGAACATTCGGTAGAATTGTAACCAATGCACAGCAATGAGCAAACTGGTTTGAGAAGTGCTCTTGAAGCATCTGTCCCACTCATGTAGAAGACATGGAATCACTGCTACCAAAGAATAACAATCAATAAACGTTCGTCAAAATAACTTTCTTTTTTCTTTCCAATGTCCAGCTCACAATGGGAAAGAGGAAAAAGATGTTTCTCTCATGAAGCCTTGCAAAGTGCTTTTTGTTAAATGTTATCAACTAAAGACCTACAGTCAAACCTTCCATGAGCTTTCTGTCTGTTCCCCCAAGATCTCTGTGATGTGAATAAAGATTTGATTTGAAATCCTGAGCCCCCTGCAATCAAGGAGTGTGTTACTTGAGTACCTTTTAAGTTATTTTTTGAATTTTTTTGAAAACAAGAGGTGGGTTTCTTTCTATGACATGCATGTTGTCTGCTGCATCTGCACAGGTAGCCAGGAAAAATCCCTGGCCATGATAAAAATCTGAAGGAAACATGCATCTATGAAAGCTCATGCCTTTTGTGGTGATCAAGTGGAATAGGCCTACTGTTCAGAAATAATGTCTTGCCAATACAGAGGGCCCCAGTTCCAGGGGCAATTACTAGATGTGCTACATGGATGGATGGCTGGGTGCATACAGCTAAACCCTACAAATTGGAGAGGAGGGAAGAGGCAGAGCCCTGCACAACCTAGTGAGTGTTTTTGATATAAACAGTTCATCTCTACCTAATATGCAAATCATTAAAGGGATACTTCAACGAAATTTGAAATATTCCCATCGTGTTCAAAAATAGGTTCAATATGACCGACAATATCCGTAAATGACAATCGCACGTTTGTATTTTGAGCCTGGTGGCTGTATTTTTCGTTATAAACGGCCTACTCTGGCAAGCGCTCGGAGAAGGCCCAGCGGAGACCACGTGACATCCAACGCAATCGTGACGTAGGTCGTCTCAAGACGAGCAAAGCTACGGCGAGGCAGATGCGAGAGGATGGCCTAGTCGTTCCAGCCACCGAAGCGGCTGCTTTTGTACGAATTTTGAGTGACGGGTTAATCTTCTGTAATCTTGTAGGGGGAAAATAGCGACTTCTGCGACACACAAAAGGCATTCTCGGGAAGAGGGGAGTTCCTCCTGCCCCTCTTCTCTCGTCGTGGCCGGAGACGAGACAACCTCCGTCACTAGCTGTCAAGGTTCCTAGACGGGCATTACAAGCGAGGCGTTAGCGACATCCACCAGGTGCTCTTTGCTAATCGTTTAATTCGTTTTAAAATTCCTTTTCGTGACTTTTTTAACGAGATATTGGTATGTTCGATGTGATGCTGCTTTTTTGAGCACATATAGACCAAAAAATGAGCGCCAAAATTTCGTTGTAGTATCCCTTTAAGGTTAAGCCTTTTAATAGTAATACTGTTAAAAATTAGAATCCATGACAGATACGCCTCTACAAAAGAATATGTGAAGTGTGCAGTTGCCGTGGTGTATAAGATTCTGCTGAGTTGTGTGAGGGTCTACACTGGACAAACAGGTCAGTGCATTAATGATAGAGCACGAGAGCATGATTGGTTGCTTCGATCAACAGCAGGGCTCATCTACCCCTGCACTGTGGCCCTTGTTTGTGTCATCCTTTTTTTGACAACATCCCCATCACTGAAAGAGGAGCCGATAAGACAGCCAGGGAATTATTACAGGCATATGAAACGAATAAGCAGGGGGAACACAACTGTGCAAGCCAAACTTCTGTTTCCTCGAACAAAAAAAAGATAGCCTATTTAGACACCATCTTGACATGGTGGTGATCTGGTGGTTTACTTCGTTGGGTGTTTTTCAATAAATATTTAGTTGTCAGATCCTGTGCACTTCTCTCCAGTCTTCGTTGTTTCATATATTTCCTAAAGATGAACCAACTCGCCCACATCGCCACTCAAATTCTAATCAACAAAAGGATTGGCTCCCCGCAGGAACACTTTTTCCTTGTTGTGCAAGGTAGCTAAAAGGGAACTAACACATTTGTACTTATTTTCTATAGCCAGGGCCTCCAACATCTCGCATGTGAGCTGGTTTCCTGAGGTGTCCTCAGATACTAACATTCCTCAATCGTTGACGCAGCGCCCAGCTTGTTCTATGTAGCAATACTCGCATGTCAATGGAATGTTGTAAATCACACTTTTTCACGCGGGAATAATTTGTCCTGTGATTGATGGAACAAAGATTTTCTCAGTTACGTCGCCCCTGGTTCACTTTGTGGCACATTGAAAATGCCTTATTCAGCGCTGAGCACACAACTTGCACGTCTTGCCAGCTCGCAATCTTTTTTATTTTATGGGTTGTCCCAATACTTATATGAAACCACTAAAAAAGGTCAGCATGCCTTTTTATTTTGTGTGATGTGGTCATTATGGTCGCATGCATTCTTGAGGTAGTGGCAGATCTTTCTGCAAATAGAGGCCAGTAAGGATTGCTGAGTGCATCTGACTTGCATAACTTTTTTAGGCTGGCTAAAATTGCTGTGGTAGCTACTTCTGATTTGACAATGTGTGATTGCTCAGACTGAAAGGGAGGAAATTTTTACCCGATTGAATACTTGGAACTCCAATTTCTAAAGCCAGATCAAGGAACCTAAGAGAATTTTTGATGGGAAGCTCATAGGTGAAGTTGAGCCCCATGCACCTTTGTTGGAAGCATCTCAGGATGGCATCGAGGCACACATCGGTTTGTTCATCACTTCCGTAGAACAAAAAATCAGAACATCGTCTACATACCTAAGAATTACTCCTAAATTCTTTGGTCTTTCATGATTTTTTGGATAGGTATTCCACAGAAGGGGAGAAACACCTCACTGAGATATGGAGCCACTTGGGAGCCAATGCATACACCGCTCTTCTACAGATAGTGGTGATCTAGGTGAGATGCTATCGTTGCGAAGAGGCAGAAGCGTAAAAACTCCAGGAAGGTTCCAAAGTTCATGGCCGCCACTTTCTGGAACGATACGAGGCCTTGTTCCTCTATGGTGGATTGGAGAACTTGTAAGAGGGTTGTGTGCAAAATGGAGTAATACATGTCCTGGGCATTAATAGAAAATCCAGAAATCATAAGTCTTCCTTTTCTGAGATATCCAGAAGGGGCCTGGTATCTAAACTTGAGAAATTTGTTTCGCTAAAAACTTCGATACAAATGCTTGCCAAGTGTTCCTCTCCGATACATTAAGGAACAAGGCGTAGCATTCCAAAATGCGGCGGGCATGAGCTTTTACGCTTCTACCCGTCAGCAACGATAGTGTCCCACCAATATCACCACTACATGCAGAAGAAAAGTGTATGCATAGGCTCCCAAGCGGCTCCGTATCTCAGTGAGGTGTTTCTCACCGCCCCTGGAATAGCTATTCAAAACATCATGAAAGACCCAAGAATTGGGGTAATTTTTTGGTATGTAGATGATTTCCTGATTTTTTCTTCTATGGAAGTTGATTAACAAACCGACGGGTGCCTTCATGCCACCTTGAGATGCTTTCAACAAAGGTACATGGGGCTCACCTTAACCTATGAGCTTACCGTCAAAAAATTAGGTTCTTTGATTTAGCCTTAGAGATTGGAGTAGTGAATGTATATTGGAGATTCCAACCCTAATTGGGGGAAGGTTTCCTCCCTTTCAAGTCTGAGCATTCAAAAAATGTCAAATGGAGGGTAGCTACCACAGCAATTTCAGCGAGCCTAAAAAAGTTGGGCAAGTCAGACACAGCTTCAAGAAAGAAATTTCTGGACTTCATGAAGCTGGATACCCACAAACCTAAGTGGTCTTCATATGCAAAAAAAATCTTGCACTACAATCGAGCCCAGTTATATCACACTCGGGGACCGCCAAGCCAGCCTACACGCGGGAAGATATGCCACAAAAGAGCAGTTCTGGGAAAAGAGAGACAATGAACCGTGAAAAAAAAAAAGTTGAGGGTGGCAAAGCAAGGGGAAGGGCACGCGCACGTGAATAGGGAGAGCAGGGTGTGCCTCCTGTCGGAATGGCAGCTTACGACCTTTCCCCAAACACTGCTGGTGCTGCACGACTCCCAAGCCCCAAAATAAACTAAGCAAAAAAAAAAAAAAAAAAGTCTCCCCGCAAGTTGAGTGTGTTGACAACAAGGGTTATGCAATCGCACTCTGAACGCCTCATCTTTGTTTACCTTTCTCTTTTGCAGTTATTCCTTTGCCCTTTTTTTTTTTTTGCCTGAATTTAGTGAGCTTTTATTTTTGTTGCTTAACATTTTTCTAGAATCAATTGATTTTTTTTTATGCTGCTCGCTTTTTCGTTTTTCTTTCTTTTTTTCTTATTTTTGTGTTTTGTTGCTCGTGCTGTGTGGAGGTCCCGGTCAGGAATGCACGCAAGCTCAGCGGTGTTTGCAGTTTTTGCAGTCTCCGACAACTGCGCTCTACTGCATTTAGCGGCTCTTGGATGCTCTATTTGGTAAGCTCTCGTTTGTCGCAACCTTCAGTATTAGCAGAGATGCAAGGAAATTTCAACTCAAGCTTAATTTAACATGCTTTTGTTTATCAAATTATTGATATATCGAACTATTTTACAATCACCTTTGAATTCAATATATCCGGGTTCGACTGTACATCAAGAATGCACATGACCGTAATGATCACACCGCGCAAAATAAAAAGGCACGCAAACCTTTTTCAGTGGTTTCATATATTCATGGGATCACCCATAGATTAAAAAGTATTGTGAGCTGGCAAGAAGCGCAAGTTGCGTGCTCGGCACCGAATAAGGCATATTCAATGTGTTGCAAGGGGAACGAGGCACAAACTAACTGAGAAAATCTTTGTTCCACCAATCACAGGACAAAGTATACCCCATGGGAAAAAGGTGATTTACAACATTCCGCTGACATGTGGGCATTGCTAAGTAGGATAAATAGGACGCTGCATCAACGATAGAATGCTGGAACACCCAGCTAACCTAAAAGAACCTGACGGGAGCAGGGCACCTAGCCGCTCATTGTCGGGAATGCAAGTGCGAGGCCTCTTTCAGGAAAGTTAGCATCCTAGGACACCACAGAAACAAGCTTGCACATGAGATGTCGGAGGCCCTTGCCATAGGAGAAATCGAGGACTAATATGTTATCTCCCCTTCAGCTACCTTGCACAACGAGAAAAGAATGTTCCTGCAGAGAACCAATCCTCTTGTTGATTAGAAATAAGAGGAGGAAGTAATAAGAATACTAGATGCCATAGATTCATCAAGCAGAAAACAAGAGAAAGAGAAAAAACTAATATAAGGATGAAAATGTTTTTGATAAAAAATAGCTGATAGTCCAGTGGCACTATATGTCCTTTCCTTTAGTATCCTCCCTTTTTATGTTCAGCTGCTCCGACCCTAACTAGCTCAACTTATTCTGGTCATAAAAATACTGACGTGTTACAATATTCCGAAATCAAATCGTACTCCAAATTACTGCACAGAGAAAGGGCAGCACCAATTGTACCTTGCTACATGTCTTGATTTTAGATATTGCTACTACCGCGAGCTTAGTGGTAGGAGGAGAGAGGTACAGATAACTGAATATGGCAGAAAACATTACAAATTAATACACAGTGGATTCTAAATCGTTTTGCTACAAGGAAGAAAATTGGTGTTGGAAAACTCTGGAGTGAGTCATAACGAGTTATATTAGGATGTAGGTTATTTCAATCCAATATGCTGTGATGAAGAAAACAAAAAAAAATTGGATTTTTATTAAAGCAATTGTTGTGAGGCTGAAATTTATCTATGTTTCTTGAATGTGAAGCACAACCTATGGCACAATGGTTTGATCATTTTGTGATAGCGAGGAGTAATTATCGGTAGTATTCTGCAAGCATACTACCACTGAAAGCTCACCGTACAAAGGTTGTCATCTCGTCGAGGCGCAACGTCCGAGACTTGATCACCTGCACAAAGAAACCACAGGACGATTAACATGCACTCTATTCTGATCAATGTTATTTATTTATTTTATGCCCCAAGCAGCCGGTGAAGGAGCAGTGCAAGTACAATTCATCGCAGTGCCCTTCCATTCAAACAAGAGCATCTCTCCAAGCAGCACGAAAAAAATGGGCATCCACTGCTACCCACATTTACCATGAGGACTTCAGAGTCTGTCTGGATTTCATTCTTCCACTCGTAGCTAAAAGATGAGACAAAATGCAAGCGTATGAGTGCAGGACAGTGAATGCAAACGTGACACCTCTCTGCGCTCACTCACACAGAAACAACATTGGGGATGATGTTAACACATGCCGCCAGCTTCTTCTGCACCAATGCCCTGCAATGACAGAAAGGTTGACGGTCAGTTTCCACCTTGATAACCATTTCTTTCACTGCTTTGCCTCCCCCATTCCAGGAGGACTTCTCTAGCTGTTACAAGATTGTGCCGAAACGCTCTTATCTCGGGACTAGACGATATAGGAGAGAGCACATCTGTCTTGGATAAAATTTCCCACACCTGAGTATCTTGTGTGAGGTAACAGCCAGTTGGCATTTACTGCATAAGATTACCAAGATCTAAGATACATTCCTAAGGTAATGGGTAAACTTAAAATCCCTAAATTAAAAAAAAAATTGATTTCTAATACAAATAAACATGACCTCAGGCCACGGTGCAGGAAGGCTCTTTAGGTGTCGAGACTCCGCTCTCCGCCGCGACCAAATAATGACACCCCGCGCGCTTGGCTTCACGGAGCCACCCCCAGATGGCGCCGTAAGTTTCAGGCCATCCGGTAGCGCACCGGGCCACCTGTGCTAGCTGCCTGCACGGCGTGCAGCTTGCTTTCCGGTAGCTACGGGTTCGCGTACGATGTGGTATGTAGGTGGGGCCATTCAACTATCATCTCTCTCAGCACAATGAAGTTTTCATAACCTGAAAAATGGCAGACGGGCACACAAGAGTAACTCCCTAATACCAGCCGACGCGACAGTCTACGAGTGAAAAAGAAATATCCCTCTCCTGTAGATAATTTCTAGCCTAGCTTACATTTCGTCGTTTGTTTTCTCAGTAGCGTCGGTAAGCGTTTGTAAAATGAATAAACTCTGATTGTACCGCAGGTAAACGATAACTTGAGTGCGACCGAAAGAAACAAAAATGCACAAAAATAAAGAATGATTAACACAAACCTTGTTAACGGATAATATGGAACTGAATTGTTTTAAGCACCGTTCACATGACTTTTCTAAATATATATATATATATATATATATATATATATATATATATTGCGTTCGCAAATTCCAGTTGATTCGACTAAACTATTAGAAAACATTTTTTTTCAACATCTGGGGCAGCTAACGTAATTATTCTTTTACATTTTAAGGCAGCCTTTGAGTCCTGCTAAATTAAATTGCTGGCCAAATCGGCACGAAGTTACACATTTTGCACGCAGAGGTTAATGAAAGCAGCATTCTTCGAAAGGTTCACTTTGTTAGTACACTTAGATTTGCATGTAGCAGATTGCAGCAAAAGTTTATAATAACCACACTCGTCAAGGAAAGCAAACCGGTTTTATAAATGGCACTTCTGATATAAGTATAATAATAATATCATCACAAACTTCAATAAGTAATTAAAAAGATCGCTGTAAAATAATGCTGTAAAAAACGCTGTTAAAACATTGTTTAATGTATGACACACTCTATAGCTGCTTTTGGAGTTCTTTTCTACATTACGAGGCGCACAGTCGGGACTTCTTCTTCTTTTCTCGAGGCTGTTTCTATGCATCTCGGTTTTTTCCTCTGCAGTACTGCCGCATTCCCATACGATCCGAACCCTTTTGCACGTTCGACCGAAACCGGAGAAACGTCTGCCTTCCACGGAGGTGTCTGCATTCCACCAGAACGCCAGACAGAATCCGACCCTGAACAGATGGGCAGTCAGTTGTGTCTGTGTCTACTGTTTGCAAGACAATCCCCTACAAGGCGCCTTCGATTCGGAGAGAACAACGACCGAGCATGTGACTGATGCCTTCGGCAGATGTTTTTATCTTGATTGTCTCTTTTACTAATATTTTCATGTCGTTGTTTTCCCTTTCTAAAATATTTACGTTTCCCCAGGCTGGAGAGCAGTCGGCGCATTCATTCAAATGTTTGGCTATTTCCGAATTCGGATCTTTGGTTTTTACATTTCTTTTATGCTCTATTCACCATTGCAAAAAAAAAAAAAACATTTGGAAACAATTAGAGGCGGCGTAAGCAATGGGTGACTTAGCCCACGTTCCGACGGAGGGCCGGCGACCGGACGGCCTGAACGTTTTGGCGCCCTCTAGGGGCAGGCGGAGAAAACATAAAAAAGGAGGGGACGTGATGTGTTCGCCGTTCCGACGGGGCGAAGAGAGGAGTCTCCACACCTAAAGAGCCTTCCTACACCGTGCCTCAGGCCATAACTAAAGCAATCTGTTTTGAAAGTAACTTCACCGGTCACTGGTTCTCGGTCTTCCTGCATGTGCCCCGTGCGACATGACGAGACAGAGCCAACCTTAGAACGATGTGGGGGGCAGGTACTATATGGATTGCTGCTGCCTTTAATTAGTGACAGGTTAAGGACCCAGCAGATGCTGCACCCACCAAGCGTAATGTACCCGCTCTACTTTCGAGAACATAGTGTGTCATTCGCTCTGCGAGACAGGCATGTCGGCAGCATCGGTAGGGTGGCCAAAGGGGAAAGTGCACTCAATGCCTGTATCGATTCAATCCAGTGATCCGAAAGAGAGGTAGCTAGATGGCGCAGTCATTGGATGTGATCCAAATTCATGCCAAGATCCGCGCGCTTTTCGCCGCGTCGCCACGTGTGCTAGGATCCACTGGGTACTGTAGCGATCAGCAGTAAAGAGTTCCATGCTGAAGCGGGCCATTTTTTCACGCATTTCACTTTAGAAACTCATTTTCTGCAACGGTTTTTCGCAAAGAATATGAACTCGGGCCGTCATGAGAACCATATTCGGCGGACAATAAATATGAAAACTGAGGTTCGACTGCGGAACAACCCATTACATGGAGCTGTCCTTCTCGTGACAGCACATACTACCTTCGTAGAATATTGCGGTGTCTTGGCTTATAACATGGACATGATGGCACCTTCCAACCAAAAAGGCTTTCAAAATAAAGCTCGCAAAATACCTGCCATCAAATCTTTATCTGAAGATATTGGTACTCCAGGTTTGGAGAAGGACTTTTTCTTTTGGTGTAGAGAAGAAATCTATCCGTAAGGTTATGTGGCCGGGCTCTCACCCCAGTGCAGAGCGGTGATGTTGAAGAGAATTTTACTTGTTCAGATGTCCTCCATCGGCACAAATATGTTGTAATTCTTTTCATAAACATACTCCTACAGAGCCTTTTGTAATTGTCTTCGTTTTCCACTTCCATATTTAGTGAAGGAAAACAAATTGAGCTTTGTTAACGTTTAAATATAGCGAGAGGTCGATCCACCTCCGAGATTCAGCGGCATGGTTCAACGCTGTGGAAAGGTAAGTTATAGGGACGTCCGGGACTGCTAACTAGGGGTCTAAAATATACTCATGCTCCTGTGATCACAGGATTGCATATGATGCCTGTTCCGTGTAAAAACAATTAGGGGCACAGCTGCAGTAGATGATTGGCTGAGCGGATCTATGACAATTGGGTCAGATTCAATCCCAGTGCCACACTTGTCCCGAAGCCGCAGATTATTTGTCTCAATGTGCAAAATTTAAAGTAGGCTAGGTGAAAATGTGCAGCCGTAGCTGCACGAGGGTTCGTCAGTCCATTGACGATGAGCCGGAGCCTGTCCTAATGCGATGAGCCTAATGCAACAGGATTAAGATGGCTTTTATATTCGTGCGACAAAGTATACAAGCCTATGAAAGCTTCGAGATTATGAGCAAGTGGGGAGGACTAAACAGATCTGGAGGTCACCTTAATAAAGGCTGATATCAAAAGAACATTAACCTCGTCTTTTCTTTCTGATACTAAATTCCTTAACTGGCTAGAGCAGGGCACCTCGTACCATGTGTAACTTGATTGGAAGCATCAGCGCCATTGTGCGGATCGTGCACAAGAAGCATTTCTGCCACAATGCAGACAAGCAAAAAAACACCCATATCATCACTTCCGGCCTACTGTGACAAACCGGTCAATGAGCGCACCCCCCCCTCCAGCCCACCTTAGCATCGGTTTCAGCTGCGAGCAGAAGGGGCGAAGCTCGCAGCTGATCGAGCAGGACGACGTCGTCGCGAGTAAAAGCGCAGCTATCGAGAAGGAGACCGGAAGATTTTGCCCCTCTCGTAGTCAAGGGTGAAGGAGGGACAAGGTTGCAACTTCGACAAGGGACACCTTCACGTGCAACAGTGCAACGACGAGACTTGGCAAGGGCACTGCATTAAAGAGACGAATAAATACTGCATCGAAGTCGTTCTTTCGGGGTATCCTTTTTATTAAAAGAAGCGGAGAAGCAGACGGAGTCCGGTGAGGCAGCACGGCAGTGGCATCACCCGATCACCTCACGCAGCGTACCGCGGCGACCAAGGCGTTTTCATGTTGACCAACGAAAAAAGTTGTGAAGAAACGCTCCTATTGGAATAATTTCTTGAGTCAGGAGCAAGCAGTGCACCTACAAAAGGTAGCCAATGGCACTGAAGAAGCGTGTCGACTGTAGCCATGGCAGTTTCCAGGCCTATTGGCTTAACTAAGTGGGCACGCCGCATATTTCGGCGGCGACACAACTGCTGGATTCTCACGTCGTCCGAGAGAAACTAGCACGGACAAAAGTCTATACAGGCATGACTTTGCAACATAAACCCGGATAGGCAAAGAGCTGGAAAATCACTGCAAGAACCTGGCATCCCCGAAGTCACCAACCACGCTTGCTGCCGTATTAAAAAAAAAATAGCTTGTCAGTCACTTTCATGCAAGCCATGACGTGACGGCTCGAATGGAAGTGACTGGCTGGAGGAGTGATATGAATTCCTTTGAGGGGCATTTCCAAAAGTCAAACTTGGGGGTCTTACGTGCCAAACTAACAAAGGGCATCTGGCACACCCCAGCGGAGGACCGAGGATTCAATTCAACCACCTGGGATCTTTTGATGTGCAACTGAAAGCTCAATTATGTGGCACCGTCCCTGCAACGAGCATCCGTCAGGTTAATGAGAAGCATTTGCCGCTGGGTCGAGCCTGTCACCAACAGCAATTGCCTAGCCTCATTTATCTACCAATAACTAGGGGCAGACCGCAAATCACTGACTCCTTTCGCCACTTAGCCTGCTGTGTAGCTGCAAGAAGATTCCGAAGTATGTAAGCTTTAAAGGGGCCCTGCAATCATATTTAAGCGTCTACCTTTTTTGCGGTTTCCACGTCCCTTGGGGTTCGGGCAAGCCAGCGGGCACGGAGAGAGTAACTACATACCAGTGCATCATATTTTAACTGGACGACGCGGAAACCTCCTCCACCAACGGGAGCGACCCGCGGTACCGAAAGCGCGCGATATGTGACGTCTTTGGTCCTGGGCTTATTACTAGTCAGAGCAGCTAAAAGCTTCTTTTTAGTCGAAATACAAAATATAAGTGGCGCGAACCATTTCAATTATTTATAAAAGTAGTTCTTGTTCAGTATTTTAGATCAGAAAAGAACAAATGCAGTTTATAAGTTAAGTCCGGAAACAAGAAATGACCAGTTGACATACCTGCCACCAAGCGGTAGAAAAGGCGGCGCATACTAGAAAGGAGTAGTGGGATCAGGCACCGACACTGAAAGGTCCCGGATATACGCGGCGGTGCTGCGGTCGTTTACGGACTGGAGTATCCGACTGGCTTCGGGCGTTCCGAAGGCCTTCGGCGAGCAGCTTTGTCTTGCAGTTTGGCCGTTTGCGGTATGGCAGCGCTAAGTGGCTCCCATTCTGAACTGATATTTACCCAGTGTTTGCTGTCGTTTGTGGCCAATGAAGTGTCAGGCCAAAGTAGTGTTTAATCGAGCAGCAAATGCAATGAGAGCCGCTCTGGCTGCCCACTGTATACAGCCTATCCAGAACATGCTTTAGTGGCGCCCTCTCGCACCGTCGACTTGGAATGCGGCAGCCATGAGAGCTTGCTGAGCTCACTACCCCTCCCTTAGTTCACGGCCGCTCATGCAACCAAGGACGTCATGAAGGAGGTTATTTTTTCCTTGGTTTTGTAATTTTAATTTGCCTAGAACTTTTAATATAAAGCAAAATTCTAGAAAAGAAGTTTCATTAAGTTACTACGTTCAGTGCGCTCAGGTTCGGTGCAAATTAAAAACCAGTAAAAAAGTGCTTGCAGGGCCCCTTTAAAGTGACTCACGCGTTGTTTATGTTGTCAAAACCAATATCTGCACATCTAAGTACTTCACAGCACACAATCGGAGAAGTTTCAATAAAACGCACACAGAGCACCCTTTTGACAGGGAAAACACCCTCTGTCACCAGCCAACCAACCAAGCAGTCTCCAGAGATTGGCTGTGTCTTGTTGTGTGAGTGTGCACTTAAAATTATTGTCAGGCCCTCGATCAGCAGCATTAAGGTAGGGGAACACTGCACGTAACACATCATTTGTGCAGTTGTCCAGTTCTTCATTGTATAGGTTGCAAAGGCAATGCCATTACGTCGCACTCAGTGGCCACGGACTCGGCTACGGCCTCTGATGGATACACCCTACTGCATGCCCATTTGTGTAACCGCAGTTTTAGCGACACGGCCACACCAGAGACGGTGAACATGTAATTTCACGTTTCAAATAACATCTAGAGAACAAATGTGAACAAGATAGAAAAGCTTTATCATCTTATATCATGCAAGCAGCATGCAAAACATTGTGGAAACTTGGAAAAAGCGGCAGAATCCTAACATTGCCACTCACTCGGCGAGCTTCTTGGCCACCTGCTGGTCCGGAGCGGTCACGTAGGAGACCGAGAACGTGCCAGGAGAAATATTGCTCGGAGCTGCGACGGAAGTCATTGCCCGACGTCCGAAATGCACCAGAGGGCTCTGGGACAGAAAGAAGGTGGTGCACAGGGCCTGTGAGGGAAACAAATTCAACCACCGATGTCGGGATCTGCCAATGAGCATAGCTGCGACCTGCTTCATACTGCCGTATAAATGCAATTTTTTTTATTCACGCAAAGAATCTGTTTTGTCATAGCTCAGAGCCAACAGACATTATCTTATGATGCCGAAAGCCTCAAACAACAGCCGGACAACGAATGGGAGTGGGCCAGTGCCGAGTCTAGTGAGCGCGCCAGCCCATGCAAGTCGGTGCCCTTGTGAGCCAGTGGAAATAAACCTACTTCGCCTTTCTGGCCTTGACAGTAGTGATGACGCAGCAATTGAGTTGACCTATGCTATCATCATGCCTTACAAGGGACGTATGCAAGCCACACTCAAATGTTACGTCTGGTACACCTTGTTCTCCAGTGTGTCACCACCACCACAAGGCCGGACTGTGCCCCAAGCTACAATCACTGTTGCGACCTTGTTGCTACCGTTCAGAAAGACTGCATCCGAAGCACCTCAAGCTCAACTCACCGGAAACGGTCCCCATGGATGACTCCCGAGTTGCAATGCCTTGTCTGCAATGCCTTGTCAAGTTCCAAGAAACAAATCAACTTTGGATGAACCTCAAATCTGCCATCCACGTTGCTTATATCTGCCATGCCCACCTCATCACTGAGGGTGTCAAGGATGACCCAAAATTGTTTTGGGGATTCACTAGTCAGCAGCGATCCGCCTCTCACAAACCGTCTGTCACATCCGGCAACTACCCAGTAACATCGCCTTACGACATTGCTCGACTTTTCACCACACGATTCTCGTCGGTTTACAGTAACCACTCGGGTGACTTTGACATGGACCAGCTGGTTGATGAATTGGACACAGCTACCATCTGCCTAGCCAGCTCACTGTCCACCATCGAGTTCTTTCCCAGCGATTTCCAAAGTGCCACCGAATGCATATAAGTCCTCGCACACCGCCGGACCAAATCACCTCGCTCCCAATTTCCTCAAGCTGCTGTACCCTCGCATTTCGCAACCGCTGCTGGATACGCTGCAGTCATTTCAGGAAAGCGCCTTCTTCCCAGACACAGGAAAGCAAGCTCTCATTGACCCCTTTCACAAGGGCGGGGGAAAGTCAACCTAGGCCACGTGTATTTATCGCCCCCTGTCCATCACGTCAATATTGTGCCAAACCTACGAGCGCATGATCAACGACAAGTCGTGCGAGTTTTGCAAGAAAAACAACCTTCTCGCCCCCACACAGCACGGCTTCAGAACCTGCGAGACTGCACTGGCTTCAATCATGAACTACATCAGCGACAACCTCGATGGTGGCACTTCAACAAATTTGGTTCAGCTTGATTTCAGTACCACGTTCAATACCCCGGACCATATCGCACTCCTGCAGAAAGTGGCCGAGGCTGGTGTCCGCAGTCCCCTGCTAACGTGGATGGTGTGCTTCCTCACAGGCCGCAAACACCAGGTCCTCTTCCATGGATCCCGATCCAAGAGTTATGCAGTTACTGCGGGGCTAATGCAAGGCTCCGTCCTTATTCTCCTTGTACATCAACGATCTACCCTAATCGAGCAGCATTCACACGATCCAGTAGGCTGGTACGCTGACGACACCAATCTTCTTGCACAGACATCCCTCAAAGCCAGCTGTTCCAGCCTCCAAGCACACTTGTCTGTAGCCCAGCAGTGGTGGTGTTTGGAACTCTCTTGCTTTAACCCATCAAAGTGTGCTGCCACGCTAATCAGTCAAACCCACAACCCAGCAGCTCCCACTATAATCTGTCTGACATCCTTAAGTCTGCCACTTCAATGCCGACTTTCGGTGCGACATTTACCCCGGACATGTCCTCCACACATATTGGCCACGCTATCGCTGAGGCCAGGCGTCTCCTGGGATTCGCGACACGGATATCAAAAGTAAGCGGTCCCGCCACCTTTCGCGTCCTGTACACCACGCTCATACTTCCGCACCTTGAGCACTGCAGCGCAGTGTAATGCCCACACCGGTCCAGCCTTGTGGACAGCCTAGACAGCGTGTGGCGACAGGCTGAAGCGCCTCGGATGGCGGCCCTTGTCCCATCGGAGGAGAGTCACGAAGTAGGCCTGACCTGCCGACTCTTTGACGGCTCACTGAAGGGCACCTACCTTCCATCGATTCCAAGGATAGATAGGAGATCAGAGGAGCCTCAACTAATTCAAGTGCAGACCTGTCATCACGGCTCTTCACCTAGGTGTACCGACCGGGATCGAGGACCTCCTTACAGCCCCGATCAGTGCTCGCTCCCTTTTTCTCCAAGATTGGCAAGTCTGTGGGATTGTGCCAACTATTCTCAAAGTCTGAATTTACAATCGTGACTAGTGAACTGAACCCTTATTGAACTCAGTTTGTTTGTTTTTGACCTTGTATCCTGGCTGGCACTCTGGCAGGCGCACTTGCGTACAGGTTCTAATCTTTCTGCTCGGCCTCGCACGCCACCCAGAGTAATACTCTCATACAAATAAAATAATAATCATTATTCTTTAGTATTATCTTTCCTGCTACATCATCGTAACCGGCGCATGCACTCGCGCCGGCCCGCGACACGGGCCGGCGCACCGGAATCTGAAGTCGACATCAAAAGATGGGGCCACTTCCAGTGACGGGGCTGATTACGAGCACGGTGACTTCGGGCCAGTTGAGCCGGCCACATTGCCAGCTTTGCCCAGGTGTTCGACACGCAAGCGGAAACCACCGGACAGACTGAACTCAGAGACCAACACGCGGAGCGGTTCTGTTTACCAACACGGCCGGAAGGCCGCGCATGCGCGGTAGCTATGTGGGCAAAAGTGGCCCGGCTTTCCGTGTTTTCGCCATTGCGTTGTGTGGCGTGCGCTCGTTGTTTACCTTGTAGGGGCGCTTCTAGCTTTATTTATGAGTCGTATTTCCTGACAACATATGTCACATTTGAGCTCGTTATTCGAGCCTGAACGGCAGCGGCATCGAAACATACTGTGCGTGGACGGCGTTGCCTACGAGGATCCGGACCCCGTAAAGAAGGCCTGCTGGACCTCCGACGTGAAGTTGTTGCCACCGAAATCGACGGCTCACGTCATCGTTTTAGTTTTTTTGCCAAGCCAGTTCACGGCCGACACGGTGCAAGCATACAAATATCTCGAGGCCTACAATTACTTCGAGTCGGTTTCCGCACTGCCGGCGGGATCAGCAGACTGTGGGTCTGCGGAAGTGTATTTATTAATTAAAGTAATACACACAGCGTCTTGAAGTCAAGGTATGATATTTCTCCTACCCTCATGACCACAAGGCATGACAAGCAGTAACGCTTTGTCCGTTCAGCAGTCTTGGCGGTAACACGTTAAAAGTAACGGTGCTACCAGGAACACATTATTTTTTTCAGTAACATAGCCTACTCGTTACTCTTTCGATACAGTAACGGGTAACATACTTATGTTACTATTTCAAGTAATGTAGTTACGTTACTACTTCCCAAGTTAAAGAAATTACACTTGAATTTGTTCCGTGTTTTTAGGCGTCAAGCCATGTTTTTCTTTGTGTTTTTTCTCGTGAGTATTTAGGTGAAACTGTAAAAAGAGATAGAATAATTATGTTCAATTTCTGCATAAACATAATGTTTCTTGATGTATGAGCTTATGCATACCTGTATCGTCAAAACCGTAAAATGTGTTAAATCATAATTTAAAAAGTAACGCAGAAGTAACGCGCGTTACTTTTTATTGGTAGCGGTAAAGCGTTCCTTTCATTTTTAGGTGACATAGCTCAGTAACGAGTACCTTTTATTTGCAAGTAACGTATTTCGTTACTTGTTTTTCGGTAACACCTACAACACAAGAAGCAAAGGGGATTGGTTCTGTCACCAATCCCCTTCTGCTTGGTAGCACGGGCATAGCGAGCCTCCGACGAGCGCTTGGCCGGTGCTGTGTGCGCGAACACCGTGGGAACAAAATCTGGGTGGTTTCAATCGGACGACGGTTTCCCTGCACATAAGCAAGCCTCGGGACGGAGATCGAAATGGAAGCCACACTTGCCTTCAAGAAAGTGCTTGCCGCACAAACGGTCGTTCGCACGAGGTGACCATTCTTTTCGATCCACGGATATTGTCCACCTCCTATGCCTTTCGGAGTCTGCCGGGAACTTGTGGAAACACACTCCGCTACTTTTCTTGTACATTTCGGTGCAATTAACGGCAACACAGCTTCGTGGCATGCTGAAATGCTATGGTGCGCATGCGAAACAAGCGCCCTTTTGCCCACACCAACCGGCTCCGGCGCAATCGCAGCGCCGCCGCAGCTCCGTGACGTCAAGCCCGCGTGTCGGTCTATAAGGGGGGAGGGAATGCTACGTCATCGTAACCGGGGCGTGCACTCGCGCCAGCCCGTGTCGCGGGCACAAGCGGTATGCTACATCACTGCAACACCATCTAGTGCGCGGGTGCTCGCACAAGTCCACGAGATGACAGCCAGGGCATAAAGGGATAGGGCTAGCTGATTAAACATTCCACGTTAACAGCCACTAACGAGTTTTCCAGTCGTCTTTTTCTCGGATACTTCACCCTCTGCCCTCTGAATCGACAGCCAGTTCACCAACTGATCATCACCGACTGTAATTGCTTCTGCGGCGCCATTACACGACATCTCCGCTGTGTAAACCCAAGAACATCACCCGTAACATCAACACAAGCTCCATTTCAACATCGTCATGCATCTCGTGCATAGGCATAGACTTCGGGAAGTGGGGCATGGGGGGTCGTGCCCCCCCTAGTGAGATTCGGGGGGGGGGGGGGGGGGAAGGGGAGGCAGAGCCCCCCCCCCCTCCAGGGCCCAGGCCATCAGCCTTACCAAGACGCAGTTTACGTGCCATGTAACAAGCTTCTGGTAGTGGCATATAAACAAAATAACGCCCACGTTGCCTTTGTTGACAAAATACATGGGAAATAAAATCCCAGCGTGCTTTCGTTAGCTTCAATCTCCAGTTCTGGGCAGAGCCCCCCCCCCGGGCCCTTACTGAGACGCAGTTTACGTGCCATGTAACGAGCTTCTGGTAGTGGCATGTAAACAAAATAACGCCCACGTTGCCTTTATTGACAGAATACATGGGAAATAAAATCCCAGCGTACTTCCGTCCAGTTCTGGCGAAAAGAAAACGCGCGCGCACCTACCCCTGCCCCTGCTGCCTGCCCCGCCCCCCGGAGGACTTCTCAGCCTGCCTGGGATGCCTCTAGCCCCAAGCCCTGCGTCTACATTCTTTCCCCGGTGTTTCAAGCACTGTTAGTAATCTCACGGATGTTCCCACAACATTAATTGGGCTTTGAAAGACCCTTCGAACGTCCTCGGTATCTCGTGTGCCGATTTTCACCGTAGTTCGGAGTCTAGACCACTTTAGATCACGACCGAACATTCTTTTGATAGCTCTAACCCAACTCCTGGCATTGGAATATGTGTTGTTTTTTTATTTGTAAACAAAATGTTAGATAATTACACTTACACTTATTCAGACGGGCGGTGGACTTACCGTAATACCTATCCCTGTCCAACTACGTAAAATACTCTGCAACACTGACATCCACGCTTGTTGCACCGTAGAACTGAGCCAACAGAGCACTAAAAGCACTAAAAATGGTCTGCAAGAGAGAGAGGTAGTGTTTGGAAAAAGCAGAAAAAGAGAGGCTGCCACACAACAAACAAAACGGACGCTTGGCTTGCCGATTCGACTTGGCTTGCTTTGCCGACTTAGCAGATTGCCAAACTCTGCTTGCAAAATATACAAATAGAGTACAAATTTGAAAGATGTAAGTTTATCACCATTCATAGCTAAAAAATTTAAAACTGCATAAAAAATTTTAAAACTCTCATTTGTCAAATTTGGCCAAAACTTCAGAAGTACGCAACCCTCAATGAAGTAGGCAAGTTGTAATCCAGGAATCCGGAGTCGGAGCGTGGCAATGAGCCAGTAAACATCTCACGTTCCCGTCTCACCCGTTGAAATAGTGACATTTGCCATGTGCTGCTAGTTACAACAACATCGTACTTTGTTTTGTCCTTAGGTTGAAATAATGAGTGCTAAAACTGTAGCGCATAGCTCGTCGCTTAAATCAAAGTACCTGAGAAACTTCGACAAAATTTCTCTTCCAAAAGAAGCTGTTGGTAAGGGTTCATTTCCTCCCACTCACCGCACCACCATACGCGCTTTTGAATCCGAATTCTAAAGCGTAGTACATTTACAGAAAGTTCCGAGTCATCTGACGACGAAACAGCGGACCGCCCGACCTTCGTGATTGACAGCAAACCAAATTTTGGCGAGGTCCCCGATTGCACGGCTCCAAAGCCGAAGCAGAGGTGAGTGCTTCTCTCAACTTTGAGAACACGTGCATTGATTGGGTTAACCTATATGTGTATACCATCTGTTCACGGAAAGAATAGTCTTCAAGCTCTATTAATCGGTTAAGTTCCTTTTCAATTAAACAACTCGTCAACCAGCCTACGCGAGGTGATGTCGTACTGGACCTTGTTAGTACCTCCCACTCCGAAAACTTGTTTACTTCAGCTATAATGCTGTGAGAACTACAAGAGTCGATTTTAGTAAGGTCATTTGGGATTATTCTGAGGCAATTAGCGGTGCCATTAAGGACTCTGTCGACTTTCTGGCTCAATGTGTTAGCAAGTGCCACGCATGCCCAGTTGAAGACAATCGGCAATTTATCAAAATCAAACTAATACTGATACGTGAAAACTTTATCCCGAAGTTGGTTATTACCCCACGTGAGAACTGGCCCTGGTTTTCGGGAAGTGTAAAACAGGTGATCTCGAGAAAGAAACGACTGTTCAGAAGGGCCAAATTTTCAAGTATGGAGCATGACTGGCAATTGTACGAAGAGTGCGCACATCTATGCGTGCTCTTGGGATTTTACGGTACATACTTGCTACTACAAATTTCAGCTCGCTGCAGAAAACTGCATTGTCGCTGAATAGCGAGATGAAGCAATCAAATTGAATAATGCCTGTATATATGACATTGGCGAGACCGTACAGTAGGAACAAGCATAAAAGAATTCAAAATTTCTAGGAATGCGGCAAGGAACGGAAAACTGTCATGGTTCAAAAGTAGCTCAGAATCAAATCAGCATTTACAACACTCTGTAGAAACAGAAAATCGCGCTAGAGTCTTCTACATGACAAAGGCCAAAGTAAAACTCTACCGAGAAGAAATTCATAATTAATCTCGCTGATGAGACTTACAGAGCTGGTCCTGTGATTGCAGCGTCGCTCTCTCCTCCGTGCTGGACCCAGGCATCGACCTGGCAGACACATACGTGTCCACTCGGCCCCGAGACAACCCTTCAGAGCCGAGCCGGAAGCTCAAGGAGCTGGTACTTGCGACATCTGGTGACGAGGTGGGCTCTTCCGCAAATATCCATTCAAAAGCACAGGCTGATGGCATTTCCAACAGCAATGCTTCATTCAATCTAGCTATTTACAGACATTGCATACATGGCGAGAAATCTCACGCTGAAAGATATAGGCGACATAGAAGAATTCCCACAATTAGCCCCCTTAAGGACGCTAATTGCAGGAATTTTTTTCTGCCCCCCTATAAAAGAAAGAAAAGACCAATTTTGTTGCGTGCTCTAGTTTTTATGCTTAAAAGAATTAAACAAACTGAAGGTACATGGTGACGTCCCTCGAAGTACCGCATTTGGCATTCGGGGCCACCGGCCATCCCTCTTCGATTGTCGACTTTTCAAGGTCCGATTTGGCTACAACGGAGAACCACACCCCCGTCACATCGTTGAGGTTTATGCCAAACGATCGAGACGAAAGACGGTCCATCACGGAAAAGATGGAGAAGGTCGTGACTGAGAAGAAATGGTTTTGTTGGCTCTTGGGTGCATCAAAAGCTTGTCTACTCCGAATGATGACACACCGTAGTTCCAACGACTGCCACACACAGCTGCGGATGAGAAAAAAAAAAATTTTTCTTTTGCGATTATGCAGCAAAATTGCAGTATTTCTGGGGAAGGTGGCACGTTTTTAATCGCTTGTGCCAAGATAAGCAATATAAAAAAAAAAACAAGCTGCAAACTCTTTCAATGTTAAAATCGTTGCACTGCCCAGGGGTGGAAGCGCCGCGCCATTGTGCGCCAATCCACTTTCGCTGCGCCATCCTGCTCCCAAGCGCACATTTTGTGCCAAAACTAACCAAAGAAGCTTTTTTTTTTTGAGGTCATTCTTTTTAGAGTATTTTCCTTTATTGGCCACAGTGGTTTACCGTGTTGTCTGTGTTTAGGTAATTCTGAACCAATTGGGACTTTTAGCAAACCGTTGCCGTGTTCTGCGTACCACGCACTACCGGAGCCTTTTTGAAGCATGCTTTTAAGTGCGCACCCGAGTGATATTGTGACTGCGGGGTGCGCGCTTAAAAGCATGCTAAAAAGGCTCCGGTTGTGCGGAACACTGTAACGCTTTGCTGAAAGTCCATATTGTTATGAAACCACCATACCGATGTGGCCGTGTCAATGGAGTGTAGGTCTGATCTCCGAAAATGGCACATGCATAGGTTGCTTTGTCAGAGTACTCATCAGAACCCTGACTAACGATGCCTCGATGCATTGTTTTGTCATTTACTTCTTTTTTTTTTTTTACACAGTGGCACTGAGCATGACCGCGTGCATTCGAAATACCACACACGCGGCATCAAATCGCGGATACCATAAAGTCTCGTACAAACGCCCGCCCCCGAGAAATCACACATCCCGTTGTTTTTTTTAATCACATCTGCGTGATCTGCGATGTCGGTACGTGACAAGCGTGCTCGCCGCGGTTCCCTCGTGCTTATCGCACCGTGAGACGCGAATCTGCAGCATCCAAACTATACGGGGTATCCCTTCCCATGATGTGCAAATTCCTAACTCGTTCTCGCATTTTTTATTTTTTTTTTATTTTTTATTTTTTTTTTGCGCGCGATATTGGTTTTTGTAGCACTCGAGTTTGTAGCGGTCGGGCCATACCCGTTACTGGGGAGTTCAAGGCAAATTCCCCGCATACTTAACGCACACGTGAGTTCGCCGTGTCTGTGATATGTATCGGTAATGAAAAGACAGTGAGTGCGCAGGCGAGCTGGTGATAGTTAAACATGATGTTTAAAACCTGAGACTGTGGTAAGGGAAAAGTTGGGAAACTTTGAAGTTGAAGAATTCCCGTTTCACATAGCACACACACACATGCACGCGCACACACCCACGCGCGTGCACACACACCCACAATTGCACACAAACCATTTACCTTTTCATTTTGGGTTGGCATTCTTTCAGGACCTTATGGTATATAAATGTACTTAAGAGCTTGCTGGCATTTATTCACCTATCATCAAATTTCAGGGGAAAGCGATGACTACTCTATATAAATAAACATTTGGCATAATATACCGTAAAATCCCGAGAGATAGCCCACCTAAAATCAAGAAAAAATCGGGTGAAAATATGTGGTGGGCTAACTTTCAGTGTACAATCAAGAAAAGTTGAAACCATTATATTTTTAGGTCATGCTTCCCTTCCAAGCTTGTTATCGTGGCGAGGGGCAACGAAGTAAAGATGACTGCTTCCCAGTCATCAGTGATCGGGTATATCCCGCCGCAGTTAAGAAGCGGCATTTAACGGTACGTGCTGAGGCCATCATGGATCCCAGCACTACTATTGCTAGAAGTGGGCTATCTTTAGGTGTTTAAAAAAAATTTATAAAATCAAGCAAAACGTAGGGGCGGGCCACTTTTCGGGAGTGGGGCATCTCTCGGGATTTTACAGTATATATATATATATATTTTTTTTTTTTGTGTGTGTATGGGGTGAGTGTTTTTGCTGAGACTGCTTCCGCGCTCCTCATTCGTGTCGTAAACATATGAAAGCGATAATTGGTTGCCTCAGTCCTCTGTAGAGATTTTTCTAAATGACATAGGTGGCGAATACACGTGCTGGTACCCAAAGAGCAAGCCGGCGGGTGGACAAGGAGAACAGTGGGAATATCCTGCTCGGCGAAGCAAACTCTAAACCATTGTAGGGCGCATCCAAGCAATGCGGAGAGCAAGTCGTCTGCTTGCGCAGGAGATATGGTGACATTAGAACGACTCCAAGCTCTGTTTGGTTTTGATTGAAATGACTGTGGGTAGACCTGAATGCTAAGTGCCTTGAGGTATACCTGCTATTTTTTTCAATCAGCCAATAAGAACTCGGCGTTCTGACGTCACGCAACCCCTGTGCAAGATGCAGACAAACTTGCGGTTCGTAGCACTGATCTTTATAACAATTGCTGGATCGCGTTTGCCCGCTCCGCGAATGTGGCCACTGGCAACCATCTTTTTGGTAGAGTTACCTCTAGCCAAAGTACAGCTCCTGCAGCCACTATCGTCCATCCATGGTAGACAGCGTTTTGGCAGGTGTGGTGGCAGGCTGCCGTCAAAATAGGGTGGGTTATATTTCGTGCTTGATTGAAATTGTTTGACGAAACATGTTTTTGAAATCCGGCGTGAACGGTAGCCTGATCTTTGAGGACCCGGTGAAGGTTTCACGAAATCGCAGCGCCGGGGGAAACCAGCACAGCACGCATCGAAAGTCGCATCGAAAGCAGATGCCGGTATGGAGTCTGCTTTCGATGCGAGCTGCACTGCTTTTCCCCGGTGCTGCGCTTTCATAGAACTTTCGCCGGGTCCTCAAATATGAGGCTACCGTTCACGCCGGGTTTCAAAAATATGCTTCGTCGAACAACTTCAATCAATCACGAAATATCACCCACAGTACAGTGTACTAGATTCACGGCTATTTTATGGCAGCCTGCCGCCATTGCACTGTCCGCCATATTACCATTGTAGAGAAAGACAGACGAAAAGCGACTACGTCTGACGCATTCCAAAATCGAACTCTTCTCTTTTTTTATTTGCACGCAATCTTCTTCTTTTCTCAGTGGCTGTCGCCACATAGCCCCCCTTTGGAGACGGAGTCGTCCCAGTGAACTGTCCTGGAGTATTGGATGCGGGTCGCGGGTGCCACTGTTGAGCTCGAGGTGGCTTGCACGCTGGGAAGATCAGTCGGCTGAGCGATCATATCGCTCTCAACAAATGCTGGCTTGAGGCGGTCAACGGACACAACCGTGTCGCGGCCATTAACTCGCAGCGTGAATGTTTTTTCGCCACGTGCCACGACGAGGTGGGGACCAGTGTAAGGTTGCTGGAGCGAACGGCGGACACTGTCGACGCGCAAAAACACGTAGCCACTGTTGTGCAGGTCGCAATGGAAGAAAGGAGGTTTGCTCTGGCGTGTCCGCGTCGGTGTAGCGCGCACGTCACCGAACAGACGGGCTAAGTCTTCCCCGTAAGGCAATCCTGCAGTCATCGTAGGGCCGCCGTGGATCGGAGTGGTAGGGCTGACCAATTCAGCTGGGAGGCGCAGCGATGTTCCATAAACTAGATGTGATGCGGCACATCCGAGGTCTTCCTTTATGGCTGTGCGCAACCCTAGGAGGACGATGGGTAGAGACGTGGCCCATTTATCTGGTGTGGAGTGGGCCATGAGGGAGGCCTTGAGATGGCGATGGAACCGCTCAACCAAACCATTTGCCTGCGGGTGGTAGGCTGTGGTCTTCAAGTGAGCGATGCCAAGAAGAGTTGTCAAGCTTCGGAAAAGGGCCGATTCGAATTGGCGTCCGCGATCGGTCACGATTTCGGCGGGAACCCCAAAGCGGGAGATCCAGGTGGACAGAAGCGCAGAGGCGACAGTCTCGGCAGTGGTGTCTTTGATGGGACAAGCCTCCGGCCAGCGCGTGAACCTGTCGATGACGGTTAGGAGGTACCGGTAGCCCTGCGATGACGGTAGGGGTCCGATGAGGTCCACGTGAATGCTGGCAAAGCGCGTGTCGGGGAGTGCAAACTTTGCCAGAGGCGTGATGGTGTGCCGGGACACCTTACTCTGCTGACAAGCAATGCATGCTCGTGCCCACGCGCGGACATCAGTGTTCATCCCAGACCAGACAAATCGTTCCGCGATTAGATTTTGAGAAGCGCGGATGCCTAGGTGTGAGAGTGCATGAAGTTTGTTGAAGATCTGACGCCGAAGTGGTAAGGGCAGATAAGGCCGTTTCCGTTCGGTCGCCGGGTCGACGTCGCAAACGATGTTTGTGCCCAAGTCGGAGAAGTAAACGTCCTCAAAATGGAGAGAGGAGGTTGGGGAAGAGCGAAGGTTGCGGAGCTCTTCGTCACTTTCCTGTAGAGCAGGGAGTTGTCTAAGGTCACACCTGCGGTACTGAACTGCGGAGACGCGGCTGAGGGTGTCGGCGGGGATGTTGTGGACGCCCTTGATACGCTGAATGTCGGTAGAAAATTCAGCTAGGAATGCCAAGTGTCGCGTCT